GAAAATGGCTGCCAGCCGCCCGGAAGCATCGTTGAACGGTGAGTGTTCAGCCCAATTGGAACGCATTAAACACTGTTTAATGCGTTCCAATTGGTTTTCTTGCCCCGTTCAATGATGCTTTCACACAGCGAGGGTTAATCCGGAACGGATTAACCTCGCTGTGCGAGGCACCACTGTACTATTGAATTCTTGCTCCTAGAATCCCTTACCATTGTTCAAGCTGGCAGGGGATGATGAAAATTGTCATTTGAGCACTTCTGATGACCCAGGTCTGGAATTTATTATTTTAGAAGATGTGCATGTATAGTAATGCTATAATCTGTCGGTCCAGGGTGTGTTGGACAGCATTTAAGTCTCAAGTTGGTTTGTTGGTTGGTTTAAATATGTTGCCAGCTCTTTTTATTCCTCAAGATTAATTATCTACACAGAATTATGTAATATATACAGATTAAATGATTTATGCAAATTGGATGGTCCAGCTACAGATTACATCATCTAGCAAAACTATTCATTGAGTACTGAACAGAATGCATTGTGTTTAAATATAATAGACTCCTGTATATACTGTGGCAAGCCAATCTAATGCCTGTGGGTTCCTGGCAAGGGACTATCCCCACCCATCCCCTAACCCTATCCCTACCCATCCCCTGATTATAGTGAGATGAATTGAGAATATTTATCAAGTGAATGGCACCTTCCTTGGTCGGGACAGTGGAAGGGTGGTATGTGAGATGGGACAAAACACATTCTAAATGTGTTCACTTTTTCTAGAGTACTGTAGGTATTGTCCTTAGGAAGAAATTTGATACATTTCACTCATAAACATTCTATTTATTTTATACCTGACTGTTTTATTTTGGTGCTTGTATTTACAGGTACTGATTGTACTTGTCTGGAAAGGAAGGTTTATCTCTTACAGTCTTTAAAATTATGTTTATTTGCTTTTTTCCTCTCCCCTCCTCATCTCACTTATGGCCACAGCCCGTTCTCCAGTTTTCAGTGCCATGTTCGAACATGAAATGGAGGAGAGCAAAAAGGTAAGTTAATGGAAAAGGCAGTTTTCAGGTCATGATGAAGAGCTCTGTATTGGTCTACAGAAGAAGAGACATTGAGGAGGTTACAAAAAACAATCCTGGTCAACTAAGGAGAAAGCTTAAATGTTTTGCAGATGTTTTACTTCCGCCAGCCAAGGTCTTGCTCAGAGCATAAATAAAACAAATCAGTGTCAAAGTCTCCAGGTGAACAAGGCATTTTGGTCTGGGACTCCATGAACTGCATCTTGGAGCCTGGGTCTTGACTGAAGCGCTGCCCATGGAAAAAAATCAATGCCATCCAGAAGTTTATATTAGGGTTTGTTTGCTTTTTGTTTGCTTGAAGGAACCAGAACTAAAGCAGTGGGTGCAAATCTGCAATTCAAATCCCTGCTCATCTGTGAAGCATTCTTTGCTACAAGTTACAGAGTTTTTTTTATTATTTTCTTACTTTCTAGGTTTGTGGGGAAAATAAGATTGAAAGACAGGCATGTTGTAACCTGCTCTGAATTTTATGTGTTGGTCAGGAAAGAAATCTGAATAAACACTTGTAAAGTGGCTGATAGGCAACAATGTGCATATTAGCAAAGCTGGATGAATCCAGAAGCAGTGTTACGATATTAAAGATTAAGTAACATAAGTGTCAGTATTTTCTGCTTGAGAGATAGCAAAAGAGGATGAAAATGGAGAATTGCAATAAGTTGTTCCCTGTAGCTATAGAGAAGCATGCAAGAATGAACACTTTCTGTGTACTGTACTTATCTCCCCTAAATGCATGTGTTCTTTCCAACCTTTGTGTTAAAAGAAGGATTCAAGAAGGAGCGGTATCTCTGGATCTGTTGCCTGAGGGACATAAAAATAATTTCCATCTTCCTTCCCATGTAGAATCGAGTTGAAATTAATGACGTGGAACCTGAAGTTTTTAAGGAAATGATGTGCTTCATCTATACAGGGAAGGCACCCAACCTTGACAAAATGGCTGATGATTTGCTGGCTGCTGCTGATAAGGTATCCAAGGACCATTCTTTGACTCTTTGGTCTATTTTTAAGAAAAGAAGGCGAAAGAATCAAAACCAGCTTGAAGATCCAGTTTGTTTATTGAATTAAATAACTATGCTTATCCCTCTTTGGTATCCTTCAGTTGTTTTGGAATACAACTTCCATCAGCCCTGTTAGATAAAAGACTATTGGAAGTCCAAAAAATTTGGAAGTCCCCAGATGAGAAAGAGTTGAACTAAGGCTTTTATGTTGCAGCTAATTTATATTTTTGGATATATGTGCTTTTGATTGAGGATAATTTCTTGCTGCTCAAAATACATACAATGAATTTGATATCTTAACAAACCAATTCCTTGATCTTTAGAAGCATGTTGATTGATTATTTAGGCCATTTCAACTCTCTTCGTAAGGCGGGGCATACACCTCCTTGGCCTAGAAGAGAACCAAATTTCCTGTGCCAAGATGTTGGATGAATGAATGAATCAGCTGTAAGTTTGCCACCACTTTTTCCCCCTTCTCCCAGCAGCTTAACACAGGAAATTTATTAATAATACGAGAAGCAGGGCAAAAAATGATGAACACCCCTTCTGTAGAGTACATGAGGCAAAGACCTCCAAGGAGACACTTTTTTTTCATAGATGGGGTGGGATGCCTGCTGTGCTGAAAGCAGATTGTGCATTCCTTGCTTAGTGCTTCTAAGCAGGTCTCTAACAATAGGGATTTGCTTAGAAGTGATGTGGTGCCCTGTTTTTTCTGTGAAATGAGAGATTCCCGACTCACTGCAAAGGCTTTTGAATTGATCTTTCACTCCATGAAGAGAGAGTTGCCTGCAATTTCAGGAAGCTGTGCCAACTCTTACAGCTTCTGCTGCCCTCAGCCTACATTGGATTGTGAGGCACAGTGCCATTTCTTATTTGACAGCTACCTTGTCCACCAGAAGGCAAAAATGAGTGACTGGCTGCATCTAAAAAGCAGGGTTACCCCTCTAACTTCTCATTTTGTATGTATGTATGTATGTATGTATGTATGTATGTATGTATGTATGTATGTATGTATGTATGTATGTATGTATGTATGTATGTATGTATGTATGTATGTATGTATGTACATATTTAAAACGTTTATACCCCACCTTCAACCAGACCTGGGTGGCTCACAGTATAAAAACAAACAGTATTGAAAACTAATAGGAATACATATATAACAATGTTTTAACAAGAATTGAATAGATATCACATTAAAAACAAGTGGGTGAAACAGTTTTAAAATGTTCTAAAAACACATTAAAAGGAGCCCTTTTAAGAACCTCATCTTAGGGAGCCAGTTACTGAGAAAAAGCTTGACTGAAGAGAGGCTGTGTAGACTGAGATTACAGGAACTGGTTGTGATCCTTCAACCAGCGTTTGATCATTCCTGCCTTGCAGTGTATTGTTAAGGGCAAGTCAGTGTATGTACAGTCAAATGCAACCCTTCTCTCAGAAAATTGTTGCAGTTGCAAATGTTTTGGTA